TGAAGAATTTGATACCGCGATGAGGCATTTAAACTTTAGTATGACAATTGATTTTGAAGAACAGCGAAAGTTGGATACCGAGGAATTAAAATTAAGTTTAAATGAAATAAAAGAGGTTACTTAATTTTTAAAAAAATTATATAATATATTTGCATGCTTGTATTATTTTATATATTTTATATTTGATCTTATTAATATAAAATAATTTTTATATACAGATTTTGAAAATTTCTGGGCTCAATTCTGAAGTTATTTCAGAGGTTAATATAATGAAGTCGCAGGACACTTCCGTATTTAAGCCGTTACAAATAGACTCAAAAGATTTAACTCCATGTTCCATGGGTCCAGGTGAACGAAATTCTTCATATTTGTGTAAAAGAATGTATAAATTTGAAGAAGTTGCTTGTAAAGAATATAATATCAAAGATGATCCAAAAAAGAAACAAAAAAGTCAAAAACATTTAGCAATCTTGGAAAGATTAAGTGAATGTAGATATATTCTCAAGTTTTATGGTTTATCTCATATTGAAGGAAAAGATGTTCAAGTTTTACAATGGGCAGCATTAGGTTCTTTGAAAGATGTTTATACTGCAAAAGATATTGAGTGGGTAACAAAAGTATCTATAGCTCGTGATATATGTCGTGGTCTTGCCTTTCTTGAATCTGTAGATATTTTGCATCATGACATTCGTGGTGAAAATATTATGGTATGAATTGTACATTTTTTAAAAGTTTTTATACTATATTAATTTAATCATTTCGTGAATTGATTCATGAAAAAAATTTAGATGACTGCAGGTTATAATCCCAAGATTGCAAATTTTGATGTAGCTCGTAAACAAAATACAACAACTAGTGAAATCCCTGATCTTAAAAAAGTTGTACGTTGGATGGCTCCTGAAAAAATAAAAGGCGAACCTTATACTACACGTTGTGAAATTTTCAGGTAATTTTATATATTAAAAATCGTATAAACATTGTAAAATATTCATAATGAATATTTACTGTATAAGTAATTTATTTTTAAATTTTATGTTAATAAGCTTTGGAATGTTGCTTTGGGAACTCACTTATGAAAAAGAACCTTATCAGGGTATTGATGGCTTCGAAGAAATTAAAGACCTTGTTACAAATGGTTTTAGAGAAAAAATCTCTTTTGCCCCTACGCAAGATCCAAAAATAAAGGAGATTCAACAAACATTTGAATTTATTATGAAAACAAGTATGTTTATTTCTTTTTGACTAACTTGTATGTTTATATGTTTAAATTACTTTCTATATATTAATCTATATATTTATCTATTTATTTGTCTATATATTTATCTATATATTTATCTATATATTTGTCTACATATTTATCTACATATTTATCTGCATATTTATCAATATATTCATCTGTATATATTTATTTGTATATTCATTATTATTTCTTAATTTTCAAAAGCTTGGAATGATAATCCTAACCATCGAATGGGTGTTGGTGAATTATATGTTCGTCTAGAAAACTTGGCTGAAAAATATGTTAAACCTGGTGACTTGCCCATAATATTTGATAATAACGAAATTGATTTTGATGGATCTAAATTTTATGGTGACGATGGTGGTGACATGGAGTTCCTCAGTAAGAGAATTTCTGAATTGAATTTTAACCTTTGTGACGTTGAGATAAAAGAGCCCACACCTCTTAGTGAAGGTTTAAAAATTCATCAATCAATAAAGAAAGAAGGTCCTCAGGAAGAAATAATGAAATTGAGAAAACAGGCTTGGGAATGCTTTGTAGAAAATGCAAAACTAGGAAATCCTGTTGCAAAATATTGGAAAGGTTATTATTTATGGGAAGGTTATTATGTTGATAAAAACAAAGAAGAAGCAATGAAGCTTTTTAAAGATGCTGCTGATAATAATGTTCCTGGCGCTCAATTACGTTATGCTTTTGCTCTTTTACCGGATTCTTCAAATACTTCTATAACAAAACAAACTCAAGAAGAGTTTATTAAATACCTTACATTAGCTGCTGATAATTGTAATCCTTATGCATTATTTCACTTGGGCGAAATGTATTTAAATGGAAAATTTCAAGTTAAACCAGATCGTGATCTTGCTATTAGAAAGTTGAAATTGGCTACGTCTCTTGGAAATCCCAATGCAAAAACATTGCTAAAAAAAGAGGGTGAAATAATTGAATAATAATATTAATATTCTGATATTTATTAAGAAATAATTTGTATTTTTATTCTTTCGGTTATTAAGTTATGTATTATTATTTCATACTAAAAGGTTACTAATGTGTTTATACATTTAAAAGAACAGTTTAACAAAAATATATTCTAAATATATTTATATCTTATTTTATTTTTGTATTGTTAAATAAAATAAATAAAATTTAAATTTAAATTGTAATTATAATTGGCTTTAACTATTTTATAGCAATGTTCAATAATATATGTGCTTTTCTGTTTTATGGGCATTTTCAGGATTACTTTGTGAATTATACATTTATACATTAGAATCCGCTTCACATTGCATACATAGTTAACGTTGGAAATTCATTTGCAAGATTATAATTGCTTTGTAGTTGCCATACTATTAAAGGCCATAAACGCTGTTTGCAAAATTGTGCTGCTAAAATACAGCAATAAAAGATTTGGCGAAAGATTTGGAAGAAGTTAGGGTTATAATCAAACTATATCCATACCCACTATGGATTATGGATGATAATAGGCAGACAATTTCTCATGTGGGTCACAGTTTGCAAAATTTGAAAATAACCAATGTAACCGTTGAAGGTCATGCAATGACGGTTGATGCTGTTAATGGTGATAATAAAGCGATGATTTGGTAATATTAAGGATGTTAATGTAGAATGAACGAGTGATGTCGGTGATTAAAGTTCACCTGACGGATTAACAAGGACACTTCCCACAAGTAATCTCGTGAATGACAATATTTGTTCCGCAACGTTCTAGAATTTGAGTCTTAATAAGCCTAGTCGAAGTTACAAGTCAATTCAGTCCGTCGAATTGAGTCTCGAATGGGTTTATTAAAGTT